GGCTTGTTTAACAACGACCAGGTCCATCGGATTTGTCCTGGTCCATCTTGCTAGCACTTCAATCTCTCTCTCTCTCTCTCTCTCTCTCTCTCTCTGTCTGTCTGTGTGTGTGTGTGTGTGTGTGTGTGTGTGTCTGTGTGTGTGTGTCTGTGTGTGTGTGTGTGTGTGTGTGTGTGTGTGTGTGTGCGAGTGAGCGTCTTTATGTCTCTGTGCAGGAGCGCGAGCGCACGTGTGTGCTTTCGTGAGCATGTGTGTGCTTCTACCCCGACGCACACGGACAGTGTGCATGTGATGCACTTCTCCGTGACACACGCACGCAAATACAGCAAATGCATTTGCGCGCGCGCGAGAGGAGGCGGGGAGAGAGAGCACCCAAAAGGATACTTTCGACCTTGCGCCACGTTTAGTTTGCTTGTCCCCTGAAGACGCTGATGATCGATGATCATAGATGCAGGGCCTCTTCCGCCCTCATAATTTCTGTTGGCGTCCTGTTATCGTTCGTTCCGGCCAGCACAAAACAATTACTGACCTAGTTTCAAGACGCCGTCGCGACGCACCAGCACTTTGCGCCGTGCGGCAGACCGGCGTCGCGCAGAGTCGCTGTCGGCGGGGGGGAGGAGAAACATCTTTCCTCGTGACGGTATTTATATCGCCTGAATGGGTTCAAGAAAAATAAGATATTTATATCCCCTTCGGTACGAGTGAAAACAGTGGGAACACAAGCGTTTACCGCTTCCTATCTGACTCTTTGGCTACAACCGCAATAGGCGGGCTGCAGAGAAAGGCGCGCAGCAAAATGTTGTAATTCCCAGAAAGAACGATCTCATCGCTGGTGCGCGTGATAGAGATAGAGACGAAAGAGAAGGGTGGAAGGGTGTTGGAAAAAGGAGATCATCTGTGTGTGTGTGTGTGTGTGCGTGTGCGTGTGCGTGTGCGTGTGTGTTGTCATATTCGCTATACACTAAAAAAAAAGCATGACTGTGCCAGACTGTTTCGTCGGACTTTCACCAACTTATCATGTGTGTGTGTGTGTGTGTGTGTGTGTGTGTGTGTGTGTGAGAGAGAGAGAGAGAGAGAGAGAGAGAGAGAGTGAGAGAGAGAGTGAGAGAGAGAGAAGAGGGGGGGATGGAAGACGAAGAGAATCTGTGTGTGTGTGTGTGCGCGTGCGGAGTGTCTTTGTTTTGTCATATTCTCTATATACAACTCCACAAAGAAAAGCATGATTGTGTCAGACTGTTTCGTCAGACTTTCACCGACTCTGTATGTGTGTGTGTGTGTGTGTGTGTGTGTGTGTGTATGTGTGTGTGTGTGTGTGTGTGTGAGAGAGAGAGAGAGAGAGAGAAAGGATGCGGTTGTGGATGCGTCGCAGAAGGGAAGTTTGAGGCAGATACGCTTGACAGAGTACATTTTCGAAGAAATGATCTCGAAGGAGAAGAGCTAGCATGCGTGTCGTAAAAAAAACACGGCATGCGTGCAGTTCCAAAACCGCGCTGCTGATCTATTGGCTGTTGGGCGGACAGAAGCGGACTCGTGACTCAACACTCTTGCGGACTCCTGTATTGAGCGATCCATCGGGACAGCCACCTGCAGTGCGCAATCCTGAGCTGTGTCTCTCTTCCCTCGCGGAGTTTCTCCGTCGTCTAAAGGTTCAGAAGAGTAGAACAGAATATAGAAGAATACTGTAAAAACCTCCTCCTCTCCGTTTCCTGTTTCTTTTCCCCTTTGGATGAAAGTATCTGAGCGTCGGTGAAAAGTGGTCTCATACCCAAGAGCCTAACTCAGTGGGTACACCCATGAATTGTTGAAATAGACCCCAGTTCGAGTCCAGATTATGGTACACGATGAGTAAAACCACATATTTCTGAACTGCCTGGGGCCGGTGAGCTCAATGATGACACCTCAAGACCGTCGCCCTTTATTTAAACAAAAAAGAAAAGAAAAAAAATGGCCTCACACCTAACTACTACTAATTTTTCCCGGCGTTTCCCGCGAATAAACCGCACGGTCATTATCGCCGTCTCTGGACTGAAAGTTGCCCCAAATACAGCTATAATGGCCATATTACGCTCAATACGTTCTATTCTGGGGAAGACGGTTAACAAGCTTGCTTGCAGGCATCTGTTTTTGTTTGCCTCCGGGAGCTGCTTCGCTTCACTCCCTTGCGCGGTTGAGGTGGAGGTCGCAGTACGTAAGAATGCTCTTCTTGTTCGCAGTTACTGTTGTAGTCAACACACTAAACTCGCCGTCCTGCAGCCGGGCGATTTTTTCGGCTGTCCTGTCACTCTTCACAATAGCATAATATTAACAATAAAAACAGACAGGTCTTCGAAGACGCATCCACAGCAACCGACTAACTTCTGTAAAAAATTTCTCAAGAGTTTCTTAGCAACTCACACAGGCGAATTCAACATTTTTTTTTTTATATATATGTGACTTTTTTTCTTTTTTTTTTTCAGAAGCTATATTCTTCTCTCAATTTCACCTCACACTACCTACCTACCACTACTCCTAATTGTAGGCATACGGGGAACCCCGTAGCAGCTAGAACCGCGTTCACGAGAGAACATGCGGGGGCTGCTCCCGACCTGCAGGTGGGCGATACCGGCTAGGGGACAGCCGGTAGCATCAGGTACCATGCCAACAGGACCAATCCCTGTGCCACCCCTCAGGTCCCCTCCCCTATGAGGTGGGGTATACTTGAAAAACAAAAACCCCTCCAATTGATATTATAAGGGACGTTGGGCCCGGTTCCCAACTCGTGCAGCTCCCCACGAATAGAAAGGAGCAAGTGTTAAACCAAAAAAATAAAAAAAATAAAAAACACCGGGGGAAATGTCAAGTGGTTCAGGGCAGCGTAGTTTAGTAGGTGAGAACAGCGGAATCATAATTAGCATGTCGGGGGTTCGAATCCCTCTTCCGCCGGGCGTCTATCTATGCTTTCTTCAACGACGGGCCTCGCTCCACGACTCTCGACGTGTGCAAAACGAGAGCGAATCTTCCGCTAAAAAAATGGACAGATACACCGCCACGACTTTTTTCTTCCACTACTATCGACATGTGCACAACGAGAGTGAATCTTCCACTAGAACATGGACAGATACACCGCCATGACTTTTTTTTCTTTTGTGAATGTCGAGTGTAGTGGAGCGCGGTCCGATGAACAGGTCTACGACCACGAATCCCGTCGTGACCGACGTATACGGTAACTTGTTCTTGTTAGAAACTGCTCTCGCTGTTTAAAAAAAAAAAACGGTAGCTCGTTCTTCACGTCTCGTTGCATGTCCGCAGCGATAGGCAAAAACGTACGGTCATGAAATCGAAATTTCGTTTTTATGTTATGTGAACGACGCAAGGAACAAGCAATTCCGTTCCGTTCTTGCGCCTCCTCATGCGCCTCCTTTCCGTTCTTGTCAATTCCGTTTTGAACTTCGTCAGAAATCGAAATTTGGCTTTTATGTTATGTGAACGCAAGGAGCAAGCAATCGAATCTACCTTACTCCCCCGAATACAACGTACGGTCATTATATAGCTGTATATATTTAGACTGAAAGATACCCCAAATACAACTGAACTGTAATGACCGTATGTTGTATCTTTTGTGTCAAGTGCCGAGCGGCGAGCGCCACTCGAATGAAAGGAAATAAAATGAAAGGGGAAAACTGCGACGACTTTCCTGCGACATTTACCTATGTTTATCTCACTGCATCTGGATTCGAACTCGGGTCTGTATTTCAACAGTTCACGGGTGTACCAACCGAGCTTGCACGATTACCTAGACGAAGCGAGGAAACAAAGGTGGACATGCTTCGACGTCAAAATGGCAATCGCGCTTTCAAGATTGCCGGTATCTGACCGAAACATGCCATCTGTACAGACTGTGCATGCACTGCGGATATACCTGCCGGCTTCCTCGGGCCACAACGCACCCCAATCGTATGTATACATGCTATCTTGCCAGTCCGGTACAGTCATGATGAGGGTGCGTTGCCTTCGGGAGAAGAAAGACGGTACAGTTCTGCGGCTATGCGGCTACGCCTGCTATCCATCCGCTTCCCAAGAACCGTGCGTGCGGACCTGCTTCGAAGTCAAAATCGCAATCGCGCTTTCAAGATTGACTGTATCTGACCGAAAACATGCCGCCTGTACATGCATTCAACTAGGATATGCATCCCGTCTTCCTCCGAACACAACGCACACAATTGCATGTATAGATGCTATCTTGCCAGCCCGGTACGTCAAAATGCCAATCGCGCTTTCAAGATTGCCTGCATATGACCGAAAACGTGCCATCTGTACGTGCGTTACTGAGGACATACCTGCCGTCTTCCTCCTACCACTATGCACCCCAATCGTATTTATTCATGCTATCTTGCCAGTCGGGTACAGTCAGGATGAGGCTGCGTTGCCTTCGGGGAAGAAAGACGGTACAGTACTGCGGCTATGCCTCTTATGCATCCGCTGCTGAAGGACCGTGCGTGCGGGCCTGTGGAAGAGATGAATGAAGGCTGCTGCAGGCAATCCACCAACTGACGAGTAAAAAAAGAAAGAAGAGAAGGAAGAAAAGAAGACAGAAAAGAAGAAAGGAAAGAAGAAAGAAAAGAAGAAAGAAAAGAAGAAAGAGAAGACGATGGCGAGGAAACAATAAAGGGAGCTCAGGACAGGAAAAGGAATGGAGCAGAAGAAAAGACGGAAGACAAAAACACACCCTCCGCGCATTCATCACCGATGTTCGAACATGCACCTGAGATGAAAGGAGAGGATCGGGCGAATACGGAATGACTTTCAGGGCATTTCTGCCCGCAAATTTCCGCGCCATATTCCGCTCCGCTCGACACTATCGCAGCCACCGTCAGAACGCATATCATCACCGGTCCCCGTATTCCCCCGAACATAACGCACCCTAATACTGAATGTATACAAGCTATCTTTCCGCTCCGGTACAACCATTATGAGGGTGCGTTCTGTCGGGGGAAGACCGTAGTTATGGCTGAACGAGGACCACCTTCCGACAGCATCGATATCGACATTGACGTCAACGAAAAACGTCGTCAATCGTCGGAAATCCCCCCAAGGGCGTCCACTTCCATCATACCAACGACACTACTTACTCCACACTTGTCCGGGAAAGAGTTCAAACTCTCAACCCCTAAATCCGCAGTTATACACACTATAGTAATTTTAATTCGTCAAGACTTCGCAACAGGAGAAAGGAAACGAAGTTAAAAATTTTCTCTGTTGGCTCTACATCACATCCGCGACAACGCATCACATCTTTAACCTCAGGTAAACAAACATTATCATAGCGACACCATCCGCGTCATCAGCGCCGTGTAATTACCAGTACCTGATCGATTAAAATTCATTCTTTCTGGCGCAGATATCGTCAACACACAGAGAAAAAGACGTGTACCGGTAAGTAGCCTTCCGGTAAGGATGCGCAGCCGAAAGCTTGCACCCCTTGAGAGAGGCATTTAACATACCGTAACAAAATTTTGATGAGACGACGACGGTAACTCTAGAGGGACGACCGAGTGCATTTTCATCGCCGGTAGAGAGAGCGAGTCAGCGTGAGGCGACAAAAAGAACAAACAACCGGCGCCGCATGTTTTAGATGGGGCATCGTTTCCGACACAAAGAGCAAAGCATCGCCCAAGAGGAGAAAGGACAAACGCAAAAACGTGTAACGCTTTCATTGTTTTTTTCGCTTGACGTTAGAGAGTGCTTCCACCTGTAGCTCGCTTGCTAATTCCTTCACTCGCCTCGAGGAAGCGAGGACAACGAACAAAAAAAGCAGGCGGAGGAAAGGCACACGCACAGGGAAACGGACAACGGCAAAGCTACAATCTGTCCGCTTTTTTCTTCTGTGCCGGTGCATGCGTGTGTGACGCTGTGTGTGTCAGAGAGAGAGAGTGAGAAAGAGAGAGTACTCCGGCAACAGAGAGAAATAATCCACCACACGCACACCTTTCCTGAATTAATTTCAGTTCCCATATTTGTGTGTGTGTGTGTGTGTGTGTGTGTGTGTGTGTGTGAGAGAGAGAGAGAGAGAGAGAGAGAGAGAGAGAGAGAGAGANGAGAGAGAGAGAGAGAGAGAGAGAGAGAGAGAGAGAGAGAGAGAGAGAGAGAGAGAGAGAGAGAGAGAGAGAGAGAGAGAGTAATCCGTCACCAAAGTGAAATAATCCACCACGCGCACACCTTTCCAGAAAGACTTGCGATTCCCATATTTCCTCCCTTCCCTGCTCATAAAGGGTGTGTCAATGAGACAAGAACACTTCACACCGGTGAATCAAGCGCATACATTGGGCTTGACGAAGGCTCGAGATGAGAAAGGAGTCTGCGCAGAATCTCAAGGGGGAGAGAAATATAAGGCGGGGTTATGGACCAAACAACATACCATTTTGAAGAGACGCTAGAACAGCAACAAGTGCAGCTGTCGATGTCACTTGCTCGGTCTCCCCTCGTCTCTCTTCCTCTCGTTCGCTCTGCTCCCCGCCCCCTCCTTGCGGCCGGTAAACGCACCCCACGGGACTTGGTTTCCTTCGGCCTCAGGAAAAATCGCCTCCGTCAACGTCGTGTCACCGTACGAACCTCAATCCCTGAACACTTCGCGTTCCAACCAAAAACACTGAGAATGGAGCACAGAAGACGACTGTGAAAAAATGAAGCAGAGGTTCTTTCGTCGCCAAGCAAGCGCATTCACGTGAGTCAGGTGACGTGTACTATATCGTGTGCGTCGCGTACGTATCCTACAACAGAGGCAGTACGATACTAAGCAGCTACGTATGTAAATTATTAACAAATAGCCGGACGGATTTGCTCGATTCAAACCAAACCAGGTAGTCTCCAATTACTACTTCCAGGAACTATCCAACTTAACGACATATGATGTAGGACGGGAATGGAATTTCGTGAGCGAAAACACAGCAGAAAACAGCGTGCGACACTGTCGACGATCGAAGCCGCAAACGGAAGAAAAAAAAAAAATTTAAAAATCAGGACTCAAGTGACAAAACAAAAGAAAAGAAACAAGAAAAACCGGTGATGGTGAAGTTGATCATCGCTCCACAGCGATGTCTCAGGAGAAACAACTCACTCTCCCTACACGCGCACACACACACACAAACACACACTTTGCGACACACACAGCGAAAGAAAGAAACAAAGAAACAAACTAAAGGAAGAAGAGAAGAGGAACAACAACGTTACAATCAATCCCGTAAAAAAAAAAAAAATTGGAAATAATAGACGTCCCAAACAGAGGGAAATGGAGAGTAGGAACGCTGTAATCGCTTTAAATGCGCGACAGACGTTCAGGAACGAATCAAGCTCTCGCGTGAAGGAGGAAACTCTGCTCCTTCCAACGGTTTTGCGTCACGCTTCGTCGTAATCGACGACCCGACCGACTACCTCTACTGCTATGTGTCTAATTATGTGTGACGCCTATAAATAGATGCAAGCGAAGAGTTCTTGCACGAACGACTTTAAGTCGCGGGATGCATCCGCGAACCATGACCCCTTGTCACGAAACGTTTTTACTCTCTCTCGCATCAAATTCCTTTCCATGTGTCGCGTCCAAAACTGATTATCCTTTTTTTTCCTTTCGTCCCTCCCTTTCGATCTTTGCTTCTCCCTTCTCGCCCCGCCTTCGTCTCCACCTCCCTCCTCTACAACTGCGGCTCCCGTCGCCACTCTGACAGCCCCGCCTTAACGTATTCGCCTCCTTCCTTTTCACTTTTTGAGATTGAATCTTAAAACTGCTCGATCAATCGACATCAATTTCCGGAAAAAGACGCTCGATGATACCTGGTACGGGCCGTCAAACGTTGTTCTGGAAAAGAATTACTAATAAATTGACAATGTTTCCTACGACGCCGGACCGCCGGTTACTTGCTTTATGTTCTGAAGGCGGAGAAGATTCTAATCGACAATAAATCGAGCAAAGAGAAAGAAGAGGCATTCTCCTACAACAACTACCGCTCACCCTTCTCTACCTTCTACTGGCAAACCCAGCCTTTTCTAGTAGCTATTGACTATCCACCCATATATCAACGAAGCATGGTCTGCTCCTCGGCTGTGGCGGCAATGGCGGAGGCGCTACTAAGGCCCCGCTCCTCGACACTCTATGTGCAAGCTATGGATGTCTCTTCTACCTTCCCCCACCTAAATCATTTCTCCTTCTGCGTCTCTCTCTCTCTCTCTCTCTCTCTCTCTCTGGGTGTGACACACGCACACTATACACGCACACGCGCGCGCGCGCGGAGGCAAAATGAAACACAGACACGCTTCCCCACGTATCGGGCTTTCCGGTGAGCGTCTCAAGCTCGCCCGGAGTCCCCGGGAATGGCCCTGCGTCATTGGCGATCACAGTTTATGTACCCGGTTGTGGTCAACCCCGTGGTCTGTGTTTTTTCCCCACTCTTGTTTCCCTACTGCCGCACAACAGGTCCTTCCCTTTCGCCTTCCCGCCCTGGGCCCCTCCCGCCCCCCTTCCTCGTCCCCCTCCTTCCCCATTCTCTCTCTCTCTCTCTCTCTCTCTCTCTCTCTCTCTCTCTCTCTCATATGACACATTCTTCCCCCCTTTCCCCCGCACCAGGTACACCGAAATGCACACTCCCATCGGAAGGGCCGAGATGCACAGGGGTAGGGGAGGAGGGAGTGACGAAAGTGAGGTGGCGGGACAACATCGTCGTGTGTGGGAAGAATGCCCTGTCCAGTAAAACTGGGACTCGCGCCACCACACATTGCGCGGCCACGGAAATTCCGAGCGTCACGTCTGGTTGAAACGAGCTGCAGTACTCTGTCATTTTCTGACGTTTCGTGTGAAGGACCCTCGCCTGCTGGTGCTAATGTCTGCTGTCGCTCACCTCGATCTGGGAAGATGCACCCGGATCTACGTCTTCCCTGAGCTGACATGTCTGACTGACTACATTCCGCTCTACATAGCCACCACGGTACCAACAGCTGCTACTTGCTATCCTTTCCCTGCACCTTCCCCAGTACCACGACGCGCGTTCTTCTTTCACGAATCCTCAACCCACCCTTCAACCGTCACACACTCCTGTCTTTAGCATGTCCATATTTCCCTTTGCTTTTTCTTTTCCCTTGTTTGTTGGGCGGGGGGGATGTGTGTCTGCGAGTTTGTGTGTGTGTGTGTGTGTCATATCCGGAATGCACAACTCCACATGAAAAGCCTGACTATGCAAGTCTGTTTCGTCAGATTGTGTGTGTGTGTGTGTGTGTGTGTGTGTGTGTGTGTGTGTGTGTGAGAGAGAGAGAGAGAGAGAGAGAGAGAGAGAGAGAGAGAGAGAGAGAGCTACCCGCAGCCGCACACAAGTACGGAGCACACAAAAGCACGCAGAATCGCTCTGACGGATTATTGTGTTGGTCGACTTTTGTTGCCTTTTTGGTTTGATTACTGCTGTTCGACATTTCAGTTTCAACAGTTGGCGCCGGCGACGAGTCGCGCTGCGTTGGGCAATTATTTCCCAACAATGCAGCCACGTAACTGAGTCCGCTGGCTCCTCCCAGTTGTCCCCGCGAGCTGCAAAGGCTGTCGAGCGCGGGTCCCGGGGATTTCCCAGTCTGACCTTGCAGCCGGCACGGGCAACGCTCTCTCTGATGATCAGACGTCTCCCGCGAAAGAACCGTTGGCGAGTGCGCCTCGGTCTTTCACCCGTCTCCCTCTTCCCCTCTCCGTCGTCTCTTCCTGTCCACCTGAACCGGAAAACCGGAACCGACACCCGCCGCCGTAGAAGCTGCTCTTTTTCGTCCTAATCATGTGCCTCCCGGCGTTCCCGCCTTCGTTCAAATTGTGAGTCATTGGGCATCGCCACAACACTCTCGAAATGTGCAAAATGAGAATGAAATTTCCGCTAGAACATGGCCAGATGCACCCGACACATTTTTGTCTTTTTCACATTTCGAGAGTGGTGTGGCGACGCCCATTCTCGACGCCTACTCCGTGCCCCTTCTTTACATCCCCTTCCCTTTTCCCGCTCCATCCATCTGCCACTCGTCCTCCCTTCATGTCATATCATAGCCGGGATTCACTCGCTGACCTTCCACTTGCCACGTCCCAGTCATGCCCGCCTTTCTGCACCCAGCCTAGTCGCATTTCCACTCCCGGCCCGTTCATCCATCGGCCCTCGCTCCACTACACAACACTCTACATGCATCTGGACGCAATCTGAGCCAGGTGCATTGGGATGAGTCGAAAACTTCGAATGCACCCGGTCTAGAAGGCGTTTAAATGCATGTACAGTGTTGTGGAGTGGAGCGAGGCCCATCAGCTATGGCCGATTTCTTGATCAAAGCACAGCGGCAGATGCAGCTCGGCTGCAGCGCGCCCAGCAGCTGCGGCACGTGCTCCATGCAGGCAGGTGCTGGGCACCGCGGAGTCACACATCGGGATCGACCGGCCGACAACAAAAAGCTTTCTTTTTTCCTTCTTTTCTTTTTTTCTTTTTTTTTGGGGGGAAAAAGTCCAGAATCCATTATCACAGCACAAAAACTTTGAGGCCGGGAATCCTCACAAACAACCCGGTTGGACCTTGGACAAAGGGATCTGGTCCCAGTTCCGACTCAACGCTTTGCCGAAAGTTCTCAGTCCTGTGTCCCTTGGAGCCCCCTGCTCTTCAAGTATCCCTACCAGTACTAGCTCTGACCTATCAGGTCTATCTCGACCAACTACTGGATTCTGACACTCCTTACTCGTTCCAAAACCCAAAACCACCTTCCGCTTGATCTGCCTGCCTCCTGCGGCTAACCGAACCGAGTGCCCTTGTTCATTCTATGCTCCTACCTCTAACCATGAGCAAAATTCCAAATTTCCTTCTCTGTCCAAATTCACCAACCAGTTTGATGTCTTACTGCGGCCCCAAGTGCCCAAGAACCTTCTGCAATTCCTGCTGTTTCTCTTCCCTTGGCAGCTTTTCCTGTTCCAGTCTGCCTTTATGGCCTGCCAGAGTCTGGATCGAATCAGTTCCTTGGTCTCTGTATCAGAAGAACCTTTGCCCTTGAAAATTGCCTTATTTCGGCAGTCCCATATGACGGAACAGATGATCGCTCTGCGTGTTTGCACCACATAGCCACATCCTTTTGAGATCCGCAGGTCCTCTGGCAAAATGCCCAAGAGGGCCCAATTTCTGTCCCAGTTCCACTCCCATTCAGAAAACACCTTCCAATGGGTCTCCCACCACTTCCAGATTCTGGTGGATGCTGGGCAATCCCACCTTGGATGAACTGTAGATTTGTACGGCCACGTACAACTGCTGCATGACAGCCGTGTGATGAACCATTTTCTGTAATCACGCGACTTTCTGCGCGAAGCTGCTTTGGGGGAACGGGTTGGGGTACGTGGGGATGGGTCGACTGGCCAAGTTGCATGGATGCCCTCGCTTCTTTTTCGTTTTTCTTTTTCGATTTTGTCGGGCCAGTATCGAGAAAAGTCCCGCGTAGGCAGTTAAGAGACCGCGCCTTAGCGAGCGCGAGAAATAACTGTTGCCATAGCTTCCTTCTTGTTCTGCTGGGGCTAAGGGGAACGAGAATTTTGGCGTGATGAACGCGCGGGGATGTCGTCTTCTTTTTCAAATTTTTCTTCCAACTGATGTCCAGCCCCTGTGGGCTCTCGGAATTCTTAATTTCCTTTTTGCTTTTCGGAACTTTTGCTTCGTCGGAATTTTCTCTGCAATTTGGATTTAGATAGAAATTTAGGAACCTTGAAGGAGACAACGCGTGACCAAGAGAGAGAGAGAGAGAGAGAGAGAGAGAGAGAGAGAGAGAGAGAGAGAGAGAGAGAGAGAGAGAGAGAG